GTATAGGAATTCTCGCAAAGGAATCTCTTATGCAACTGATATCTTTTCTGGATGGCATCTTTAAGCCCATCTCCGACGATTCTCTATCGACTTCCAAATGGCATCTGTAAGCCCATTCCTGATATCACCAATCAATCTTACTTCATGCGAGTGCAAATTTCTGGGCACTCTAGTGTTCAATCATCTTCTACCTTCAGATCATGAAAGGAAGACCAGCCAATCTACATCCTCAGGTGTAAGAAGATTGAATATGGGGCAATTGTTGTACCCCAAAATTTGTCCTCTTATTTTACTCAAAACATACTCCTAGAGGTCCTCAACTTCCCCAAGGATGCCTAAGGAATGACTAGACAAGTCCTCCTCCTAAGACAATGAGCCTCAAACTAGGGTTTCCATTTTCATCAAGATGTTTGAGTTCCAAAGGTCCCAGTTGGTCTCCATTTCCCTAATATATTCTCAATACCATCCATGCTAAGTTTCATGCCTTGCACAACAAGTTTGCTCAGTCAACTGCTCAGATGCCTGAAAATCAACTATATTAGGTCAAAAGTCAACTGAGGCCCACATACAGTCAAACTTCAATATTTTTGGTCAACATCGACATTTTAAAGTGATATCCATCATTTTATCAATGGTTGATCATGATTCCTCAAGGAATGCCCCAAATTCATCAAAACTCAAAAGTTGCTAAATTAGGGTTTCTATAGGAAAAGTCAACCAAACTTTGACCATGCATAATTTTCTCATGCTTTATCATAAATTTCCCATCCAAGGCTCATTTTGAAGAGGATTCAAGTCCCTACAACTCATCTTCATCCCTATAGTTCAAAAAATCCACTCATGAAAAGATATAAATTCAGACATTATAGGTCATATCAAAAAGTCAACAAAAACACATTTTGGGTCAAATCATCTTACATGAACATGAAAGATTCAATTGAGATGAAACCAAAGAGGTTGCTTAGAGGAAATCCTAAGATTTCTAAAAAATCCAAGAACACCCTCTTAGGGTTAAAAATTGAAGGAGATATGTATTGTCAAAGTTGACCAATTTTTGAAAATGTGCATGAAGTCAACATTGATCAGAATGACTTTTTTCTAAAGGGGCCCATGTTTTCTTGTTTGAAATTTGTTCCTAAGATGGCCCACGACCCCTGAGCTTATCCACCTATTACTTTATTATTTTTATTATTTATTTTGATTTTTTATCCATTTAAATCAAAATAAATCAATTTAAATAGTAGAATAATGAAATAAAATCCAAGATTTGATTTTATGAGCATATTAGGAGTCCATGAATAGCTAAAAAATCAAGCAAATTCGTGCAAGGGCTAATTGGATTGAAAAATATCACAATTTGGCTTATTTTAGAAATAAATCATACAAGAAACAAATCCAATCTTTTTCAGAAATTTGCAAAGATTGAATCCAATTTTATTGACCTAATTTATCCGACTATATACGCACAACATTATCAGAACTAAAGAAGAAGGTTTTGTCATGTGGATTGAGAGAAGAAAATTGAACTTTTGACAAAGAAAGAGGCAATCAGATTTGGCGTTAGAGGGAATTTCAAGGTGCTTCAAGGTTAGCAATCAACTCCTGGAAATATTTGGGAGCTATTGGGACCATTATCAAGCCTCAATACGCCCAGAAACGTTCTACACGAGTATCACGGTTTTCCACTTTTCTTGAATTTGGTTCTGCAAATTTACGCGTTATAAACAATTTCTAAGCATACCTTCATGTTTGTATCATCATTTAGAATGCATTTGTATGATTAATTATGAGTTTTGATGCATGTATGGATAACTGCCATTGTTAGGGTTTAAGGTTGCGTTTTAGGGCTTTTTGATACAGGTTAAATTAGGGCAAAAGATGGATACCATCATACTCACGAGATCAAAATGAGTTGATTTGTGTGTTTGGATTTGATTTATCTTGCCTGGTATTGATTTTTGAGATTTGCAGGGTAATAGTTACAACTTGTGTCCGTAGGTAAAGGTCCTTACCTAAAATGACAGTTTCCTTGAAAAAGATGAAGGCGTGTCAAGGCGTGGTTGGATAGTTTGAATCTCGCGCGTTTTTTTATATCACTGGCTCATTGTTGAATATATTACATGTTATTCATTATTATTATCAAAAGGCCAGTTAGCCCAGTGGCAAGCAGTAAGGACTTCAGGACGCGCGTGTGTAAGAGGTCAGGGGTTCGATCCCTGCCTCCTACATAATATTTTTCTTAATATTTCATTACATGTCTCATGCTTTCATCATATGCGCGCACACTATAGGGCCTCCAAGTCAACATCATTGGATCAAGCTGCAACCAGATCCAACGCCTCAAGCATGCAGGAGCATGGTGGAAGCTCCAAGCGCAACACACCAGATCTAGCACTGCATTGGGCCAACCAGAATGGGTCTGACAGAATTTCTGCAATACAACCCCCATTTGGGCCTACACCCCCTCGGGCTTATTTTTTTTTCTTTCTCCTTTAATTCTATTATTTTATTTTGTTTAAATTAGTTTAGTTATTTTCATTAATCATTTTTTTATAAAATCATAAAATCAAAAAGATCACAAAAAATAGAATTTAGTTCTTTTCTTTTAATAAATTAATTTTTTCAACTTTAATTTATTTTTTAATTAAAACCAATTAGAAATTAGGTTAAATTCAAATCTTTTTCACAAAAAAGTCCAAAAATATTTTAATGATCAAATTAGGTTTTTTAGGATTTTAAACTTTTCTCCAGTTTTTAATTCTCGCGCTTAATTATTTTTGTCGTGCGATTAATTTTTTCCAATATTGATGTAACTGCGCCCGGTTTGTAATAGTTTAATTAGGGTTTTAATTTCCGCATCTTTATTTTCAGTCAAATATTTATGTATCTACCCAAAAGCCTTGTAATAGCGTAGGACTCTTTTATTTTCTCGCTTTTATTTTATATGCTTGTATATAATTGTTAGCAATCTAGGCTTGTATGCTTAGTCAATTAAATAGATCATTTAATTACAAGATAAATATCTGAAAACAAACATTGTTGCACACTTGCACCCTTAGGATATACCTCACTTGGTTGCCTCGAAAACAATGGTCATGTCCCTCGAATGTAGGGATATCTTAGCAAAGACCCGCAATTCAAAGTCGTCATAGAGATCATAGTCCCTTACTGTCTCTCGGGTTGGCTAACGAGAAATGATCATATGATGATAGTCCCTTCGAAATGCTAAGGTATCCTTACATGTTGCCTTCAATGACCATTTCGTCCCTTTCGAATATCCCTTAAAACTCCAACGATGGGGCTACCTACTCCTTAATAATAGGATAGCGCTGTCTAAAGGAAACGAGAACGAATAGTCTTTTTTCGAGTAGGTAGAAAATCTTAAGTGCTTGCTCAAAACAACAAAAATCTTTTACACAAACACTTTCAAAACAGTTTTCGAAAACAACTCCGTCACACTCTTGAGGACAGATACAAGGGTTACCACGAAGTTAAAACAAAATTTTTTTAAATGTACACAAGTAATTTCAAAATGAGCAAGTACCTAAGAGCCCATGGAAAACCATGGATAGAAAGGGTGTTAACACCTTCCCTTTCTATAATCTACCTCCCGTGCTCAGAAACTCTCGAAAAAAGATTTTTTCTGTTCTTTTTTCTTTTCCTTTGTTGGATGATTTGCGAATACAAAAAACACAAACCAGTATAAACAGTCGGTTCTGCCACTGTATCACAGGCCATGACAACCTGAAGGTTGAAGATAGTCGGTTCTGTCACCGTATCACAGGTCATGACAACCTGAAGGTTGAAGATGGTGCTTTGGTCACGTGAATGAAAGACAGAAAAGTCTTATTCACACAGACAGCGCCACTGATCGTACCTGAATGAAAGAAGAGATTGTCAAGGCTCACGAGCTGGTGAATTCAGCAAAGAGGAAACTCAACAAGCTGGTGGATGCAGCCCCGATCCAGGTTGTAACCCTTGAAAGATTCAAGGAAAAATCTGAGTCGATCACCTTCTATCTCGAAGAGCTGCCTGGCGGAGTCCCCAACTCCAGCATTCCTCTGTTGGTGAAGGCAAAGATGACCAACTTTGATGTACATCGCATCTTGGTCGACGAGAGGAGTTCTGTCGACATCATGTACACTCGCCTGTTCTGCACCCTGCAACTCGTTGATACCTACCTGTCACCATACGTGGGATCCGACCTATAAAGATTTAACAGTTCAACCTCCAAGCCATAGAGCTACGTTGAGCTGACCATCATATTCGATAAAGAAACTGCATCCCGACAGGTCAAAGTGCAATTTCTGGTGATCGATACTAACCGTCGTACTCTCTATGATATATTTAAAGATGAAGTTCTACACCAAGAGGAGGTCTGCGTCACCATCATCCATAGAGACATAAGTGGAGTGAAATTGTAAATAAAAAATCTCAAATCTAACAGCAAATTGGTGTCCACATTTTATTGGATAAGAGACGATTTCTCCATGCAAAGAATGAAGAATTCGGGGGGAGAGGGTCTTTGATGCAGGTCTAGATAGGTGGAAATCCTTAAATTTTTCATTATTCCATTTCTATGCTAGAGTGGAAGAAATAAAACCGCTCATGATTAACTCAATAATCCAGGAAACCCAAATTCTGACAATTTGTTTAAGAAGTATTAAAATGAATCCTACAACATGAATCATGAGGCGGCAAATGGTTGTGTTCAAATGAAGAGGACAAGCCACCCACTAACGAATCACACAAAATAGATATTTGTAAGATGTTTTAAGAATTAACCTAAGTCGAAATGGCCATATAAATTTTCAAGATAAACCGAATCAGTAATTCCAATACATGAGAAAACTAATGTATCTATCTATCTATTTGTAGCATATTTATATCCAGCACAACTGAGATGAACTTAAGAATTAAACAGAAGAAGTGGCCATATGAACACTTTGGATAAACTGTATCTTTAATTCCAAATCATGATAAATTGGCAATAATCCAAGTCAAACAGGAACTGGAATGCCCTTCTTAGCCATACTATCCAAAACATCGTTGAGAGCTTGACATAGGCCAACAATCTGCAACACCAAACCATAAAGGTGTACAAGATGTGTACAAGATTTAAGAATGACTGAACCATTTTCATAGTCTAGCTTTCTATGTGAATTGACTGACTCTTTGTGAAAAACATACCTGCTGGTCCCATCTCTGCAACTCTTCAGTATCATCGTCAAAATGTATGATAGCTTCAACCTGATATAAATCATTCAAAATTCAACCTTAATATTAACATTCCTATTTTTATTTCTGAGTACTTTTATGAACTAAGAGGATGTAATGGTTATTTAACGTTTATTTATACCTGATCAATAGATCCCTTCATCCTATCCTCATAAATCATTCGTGATGCTATCTTCTCAGCCTGAAAGTATATTAATTGTGAGCAAGAAAAATCAAAGCAAGCCAAATCTTACAAGCTGTAGGACGGCCATTGAGAATGAACAGAAAAATCACTGCCAACAAGGTTTCCCTCCTCAGGAACTTTTTTGTTCAGTGATTTGCATAAAAGCTATTATCAATATGCTACACCTCTCAATTAATTTTTTTCTTATTTAAATCTGATGGTTAATTTAAATAAATCTTCACAACAAAGAAGGAATATATATCAGACACAAGAAATGCTGAATTCTATTGACTGATGTGTTCGATTTGTAACGTGCACTGTTCGTTACTGAAAAAAACTTTAGATGAGAAATTATACCTTGGGAGGTGGGATTCCCAGTAGTGTGCCTAACTCATCAAAGCTACAAGAGACAAACAGAAAAATTAAAAGGGGAAATAAAGTAACCAAACAGTGAAAATATTAAAATAATCAACCCATAAGAAAACAATAAACTGATAATCCAATTTCTCATACCTGATATTAGTATAAAGTTTGCTTGCACTAAGAAGATTATGCTCAATCATTGCTCGGTCCAGCACAGTGAAATTGTCTGGAAGAAGGGCTTTCTGTGGAAAAGTAAAAGCTGAAATATGAAATATACCCATCATGACAACCAAAAATATGAAGATACAACACAAACTTTAATAACCTGATGTGGTTTCAGTTCTTCTGCAAAAGCATCAATTTCAGGCCTTCGAAGAATTCTTTCCAAATACACCTGATATATAAAGGAATCACATTATATGACCAGTGTAGAAAGTCAAATGAGGCAAACAAAGAACGGAGAAAAGGAAAGGTGGGGAGAGAGACCTTTTGCAGTATGGGATAGATCTTCAACTTTGAACAACGCTCATCCTAATCCAAGTTCACAAAAACTAATGTATTAAGATTTGACAATTTCACATTTGTATATTGTTTTATATGATTGAAATTTTACCTTGTACAATGTGGCAAGAACACGGGAACGTTGAGGTCCTGCACCTGCCAATATTGTGCATGTAACGGCAGCAGATAAAGCTTGTCCAAGTGCTTCCTCATTAATTTCCCTGTAATTTGAAGTGCATATGTGATAACTGACTAACATATGCAGCACTTAAGATATAATTGGCGTTGTCAAACTAAAAGAGTCTATGTAACTTAACGTAGAACAGCTTAATGTATCTAAACACAACTTAAAGTATGTATTCAAATTTTAGATATAAGTATAACAATTCATAACTTAAGGACAAATAAATCACATGGCTCACAATCTACACACAAAAAGAGCATAACAAGTTAAAATAATAAAAATTGATAGCAACGAGAGATTGTGGGAATCGGTTCCCTTCATTGAAATTGGACATGACACAATATAGCTAGGATTAAGGTCATAAAATCTGGGATCATTTACCTTATAGGCCACTGGGTCATTGGCATTGCAAACTTGCAATAACAAGTTTGTTCACATTTATATGTTCATGAATTTGTGTGTTGGGAGCAATGGGTTTGAGACTCAATTCAACACAGTTCACCTACTTAACAGATGGGTACGTATTGGGAAGCTAGATGCATCTATGTATGGAGTCTAATAAAACAGTTGAGAGGTTATGTCTCATTTAGCTATTGCATTTAGAATTTTTTTTTTTTTAAACCCTGAACCAGTGCAATTTCAGGCATGTCTGGGGATATAATATAACCACTATACTGTAAATTCTTATGCCCTCAAACTTGTGATTCTATGCGAGTCTATACAGATATATGTGATTACACAAACAATTGTCAGTGAGTTAATTCAGTTTAAATACCTAGTCACAAACTTGTATAATGCTACGAGTTCAGCCCACATTTTGACCCCGTGAATATAATTACTAGTGATACTGGCTAAACATATATATTTGCCCTGAACAGATACCAAAATGTTTTGGAAAATGATAACTCATCAATTATGATGCGTTCATTCCTGCCGAGCCACAACCCGGTTGAAGGCAATGCATAAATATTACTATCATTACATCCTCACTCACAATTTATGTTGCTCTAAAAGTTGAGATACCACATTTGAAACACAGAATGTGAATCACAAAATGCAGGTATTGCCTCCCAAAGGACATAGGGAGTAAAATACTGGCTTGGATTCAGACCAAACAATGTCTTCATTTGGAATTAGATTCACTAAAAATCCAAAAAAGCATGTGACTATTATTATCCTCATTAAAAAGTCTTCAGTTTACAAATTATCATGGCTAAAAAACAATAGAATTCTTATATCTATTGTAAAAAATTAACATGAGTTCAAGCTCACTAGAACTACATGCAAACACAAGCAGTAATGTTTACAATATCAAAATGTTCTTGTAGTCGAACACAAATATCAGGTACATGGATATTTAGCATTTTGTAAAGCATTGTTGTGTTTGCAATTACAATCAGGATTTGGATTATAGTATCAAGTTATATTCTGGAATCTAAAACAGTCATTACTTTAAAAACATACGTAAGCCAGTGAATTATATTGGAAAACCAAAGATGCTCTTTTCACCGAAGAAAGGAAAAGGAATATGATCATACAGAATTGAAGATATATGTATACAGATTCTCTAAAACGATTATGAAAGCATAGGAGGGATAAAGTAACGTGCAGGATACATACTCATCCCCTATTTGCCTTTTCTCAATTTGAGAAATATCATAATATCGTAAGGCAGCCTCCAAGAACTTCCTCTTCAGGTCTAAGATCCTCGCATAGCAAACCTGAAGAAAATAGAAGAATAAAGGAGAACCAAATTAGATAAGGTTCATGTATGCATCTTTAAGCTGAGTTATCATTTTCGAACCTTGTACTTCAAATTCAGCACTTCATGGTGGCTATTGCTAACCAAGAATGACGCTTTATTAATGAAAGCTTCAGCATTGACAGCATCGTCGTCCTGGCAAATACGGAAAAAATTATTTAAATTAAACCTTTATGATTCTGGCATTAAAACCAATATATTGATACTATTTAAAGGGGAACAAACATCCCCATACAGCATTGAAGTAATTCATTTTATACATTCACTAGACTATTTAAGTTCAGATATAAAATTATATTCTTATTTGATTCAATTTATACAAATTAATACATACACTCTGGCAAGTTAGATCTCCCAATATGGTCTTAGAACCTTACATCTATCAAATATGGAATTCCTTGCACAAAATATAAAGTAAATACCTCGAGGTATAAACAGGCAATTTGGACACACTTTGATAGCCTGAATGTATCATCAATTACCCTGATAAAAATAAATCAAAAAATAAATAACAGACATTTTCAAATTTTGACTGAATTATAATAATTTAGGAAGCAAGTAAATAACAATTGAGGCAAGCAAGTAAATATGGTTGGAAGTTCTTTGAGACCTCATTCCTGAATCTAGGTCAATACCACTGAGCATCTGAGCGGCTTTTGACCATTGCTCTTCAGATTCATAAAGCTCGGCCAATTTCTCTCTAATAACCAAAACCTATAATAAAACAAGAGACAATTAGCATGGAAAAATGTATACTTGAACGGGTATTATGTGACTGATTTAAACATAGATACGTAAAATAATTAGAGATTTTTTTCTTAAAGACAAGATATATCTTTCAGAATACTTTTTCAATCAACATCTCTAAACATAGAAAACCCTTATTAGAGAAAGAGTTTCTGAATTATTTTTTTTTTGATGAAGTTTTTTAATACATAACAAAATATGCAATTCATAATTCTGTTAGAGAAAGAGTAATTCTGTGCTTTCACGATCACAACCACCACCTTTCTACAATTTATATAGTCCTAACTCCTAACCGTTAACATAAAAATAGTGTCGGAAATACTATGTAGTCAATGTCGGATTGCAGCCAACACCCAAAACACTATAGTGGTATAGTGGGTATAGGTATAGCCACTTAGTCGAAGTTTCGACAAACAATACAAGAAATTTGCAACGTAGTACCATACACATAAAAAAAAAGCTAAAAAGTATAATACATAAAAATAAACACATGTTCATAACGAGTAACCATAGTTTATTGTTACCTATATTCAAACCTAACATAAAGCAAATAATTTTTTTGGTGAAATTGCGTATTGGCCCTAAGGGCAACGCAACAAAGTTTCAGATAGCACCAAAGGGCCAATACGCAACAATGCTGTAGTGGCCTCAATTGACTACAGAGCTAATTATATAATTTGTTGTATCGGGAGAATTAATCCCCAAACAAGCAAATAATACAAAGGTAAATTAAGATGATATGTTTCCTTACCTCCCGGTTTCCTAAGATTCAACTGTGCAATTAAGGGACTAAATGTTTGAAGTATCAGAGAGGTAAACTAAAATGTTTGAAGTAAATAACAATTCCTACAAAGGTAAATTAAAATAATTGCACAATTGAATCTTAGCAACCACACTTCAAACATTCAGTTGCCTTAACAACTTTTTCACTTCCATTTTTTAGTTAAAAATAAATAATTAGATAAAAAGAAACATTTAATCATGTTGTTTACAACATCTCATGCTATCTTATAAAATATCAATGATCTTTTTAACTTAAGATATAAGTTGTAATATTATATACTAATTTATCTGCCCTATAATAGTTACAGCCGTGTCATATTTTCTGGCCCATAGTTTTCAAATTCTGCTATATCCCTATGTCTGTATCATATCATATTCATATCTTTATTATGCTTCATCTTAGGGTTTTATTTAGCTCTCCATGTGAATGATATATAAAATAATTCCTATCATGCGTAAGAAAGCAGCATTCGAGTTAACTTCGATTATTTCCTGAAAGATAACATTACAAGCATGTAGCCTCGAAGCAGAATACACAAAATTCAAACCTGTTCTTCAAACGACACAACTCGAGGCTGAATCTGAGCAAGTATAAAATGAGCAATCTCCTTCTGCGTCTCCGGCGTCAATCTCCCCAACTCCTCAGCAAAACTCTGCAGAAGCTGCCGCGACACCACTAAAGGAACATCATCTGATAAAACTGAAACACAAAACGAAATTCAAACTAGCAACAATCTCATATATCAATTAAAATAAAAACAAAAACAAAATCAAAATAAATAAACCATAGGAGCGAGAGAAATCGTTTACTGTGATCTATGAACTTTCTAGCTTGACCGATATCGTTCGACGAAATCACTGCAGCAAGAATGTGCTTATACTGCTCTATCTTTTGCCTTTGGTCTGTAATCGCAGAAGCGCTCACGAAAGCGTTCTCCATCACTGTTTCACATTAACATTCAACAACAAAAAAAGTGACCGAAAGTGTTAAACCCTAAATTTTGAAATAGGAACGGAAATTTCAATTTCTTGTTTCTAGAAAAAATTTAGACATTGTTGTAGCTTCATTCAACGATTAAAAGAAGTGGAAGTGAAAGGGGAATAATAAGCGGAAGAGAGTGAAATTGAACGGTGGGGTTTACCTAACGGTGTTGTTTTGTGAATTCTCAGTCCTTTTTTTGTTGTAAAATAGAATCACAATGATCAACCGATGTGAATTCCTTTAACCATTAAAGTTTTATAATAGACGGTATTATAGAATTTATATTATTAATAAAGGTGTAATTATTGTTATTTTACGAGCTAATAATAAAATTTAGGGTTAATACCTATTTTCACCCCTGACATATGGGGTGTATTTGAAAAACCCCCTGCCAAAAAAAAATTCCAATAGTTACCTTGACAAATTTTAAAAGTTTCAATTTTTACTTTGAGGCTCCCACATCACCTAAAAGGCTGATGTGGCTTATTTTTTTGTTACAGTTGTACGTTTTTTTTTTGCCATGTCACACAAGACCAAGTAAAATGTCCAAAATGCCCTTTCTACATTTTTCTTAAAATCCCAAATTATTTGGCAAATGTTATGTTTCAATTCAGACCCTCCACCTCCAAATTAGGGCGCAGCATCTTCATCTCAGCAACCCAACTTTTGCTTTCCTCTTTCCTCTTCATCTTTAAGTTTTCTTTGATTTCATAAACATGAGTCAACCAAATTGTTCTACTTCATGCTTATCTTCAAATGGTAGACTAACTCCCAAATGCGGCCACAATGTCTCCATGAAGTTATTTGTTTCAAAATCGGTTGCAAATCCCGGAAGAAAATACTGGAAGTGTAAGTTCTGGGGTAAAGGAGATGACTGCAACGCATTTGTTTGGGATGATGAATTTTCTGATGATTTCGGTGATAACGGCCATTCGGATGTAGTTTCAATAGAACTGATGAGCAAACTGGAGAGAGATATCGCACTGAAGATGGAAGCCATGGAGAAAAAAATGGATGAGTTACAAAAGAAGCTGAATTATGTTTTAGTTGGGTTTATTTGTCTTTTGGTTCATTTCTTACTTAGTTCATGTAAAAATTCATGAAGATGTGGCTTATGTTCTAGGAAGTTGTAACCTAAGTAAAATTTAGTTCATGAATTATATTTCTTTGTTATGGAATATGGAATATATTACTCTCATGAGTTTTGGTTATCTGTTCTTATATTTTGGAAATCTGTTCTTAAGCAATTCTGTTTTGGAATATTTTGGAAATCTGTTCTGATATTTTGGAAATCTGTTCTTAAGCAATTCTGTTGAGTAATTCTGTTTTACAAAATCTGTTGTTAAGCAAATCTGTTGTTAAGTAATTCTGTTTTTAAGCAAATTTGTTGTACAAAATGACAATAAAATAGTTAAGCCAAAATCTGTTGTACAAAATGACTTAAACATTGTCAAGCAAATCTTTTGTGATACATAGTCAAGTACATATGTGATACAAAATGACAATAACATGATACATAACTTAAGCCAAGCCTGTTCTGATAATAAGTCAAAGCAACAAAATGACACAGGAAACTTTCAAATTGAATTTTACAAAATAGCACACTATGTGCACAACTACTGATCAATGCCCTTCCTCTTCTTCCTTGATATCTTCTTTGAGGTACTACCACCAGTTTCTTCACCTATGGTCAAAGGTGCATCAGGTGTTGATCCAGGCCCACCATGTCTTTTGGCATTCCTCACTCCCTTCAATCTTTCACTGACTCTCTTTCTTGATCGCTTCCAAGGCACGGCCACGGGCTTTTTCCTAGCTGAAGGCTTTTTGACATTAGTAGCAGCAGGGTCAGGTTGCATTGCAGCAGGTTGTGAATCATGTGTTGGGGGAGGTTGCATTGCAGCAGGTTGTGATTCATGTGTTGGGGGAGGTTGCATAGCAGTAGGTTGTGTGGGATTTTCAACTTGTGATTGTTGTTCTTCATAAAGATCCATCATATTATTCAGCAATGCATTCATCTCTGGGTCTTCATCCACAGTTCCACCTCCAGTTGCAGTTGTATCAACATTTGCATCAGATTTTTTTGACACTTTGGTCCTAGGTGTCTTTCTCTGCATTATTCAGAAACAGATATAAATAAAGACATTTCAATATGCTGAACACAATATTATTCAGTAACAGATTCATGAACACAATACCTTTCTCTTTAGTGCATTAGGATCTTGCTCCTTAGCTTGACACTTCCTAGAATTATCGCCAAATTTGTCACAATGCGTGCATCTATATGCTACACCTACCCTCCTCATCCTTGAACCATTCTCATCCAACTCTCTAAACCTCAGTTTCTTAGGCCTTCCAGGTCCCTTCTTGTATTGTGGTGGCAACAATTCTTCAGCATCCACAGTTGGCCACATGTCCATGCCATTTATTGGACTAACATTGTTTTCATAACATGCCCTGTAAGCTTCTCTCATGTAACAAGGGTCAACATATTTCTCAGGATCTAAGTTTTGATACTGTAATGCAGAAACAACATGCCTACATGGTATGCCCACAAGATCCCAAAAACAACAAGTACAGGTTTTTTTTCCCAATATCAACAACAAACTGCAATCCATTATATGGGTGATGGACTTGCCACAAATCACCACTGCTCCATGTAGGCAGCCATTCTCCACTAAGATATGTTTCCTTATCAAGCCTTTTCCTAGGATTAGGCATGACATTGTGCTTCCACTTATCAAGCTTAACAACACTATTAGCAATCCTATTCATCAGGTAGTTCCTAATCCATTCTACCATAGTGAGTATTGGCTTATCCCTAGCTTGTAATATTGTACTATTGAAAGATTCACTCAAGTTATTCATCAAAACATCACACTTAGGGTAAAATGAAAATGAATGCTTACACCATAGTTTTGTTGGCACTCCCATCAGCCATTCCCATGCCTTCTTATCAATTTGTTTAAGCTGATTCATCTTCTTTTCCCAAGCCTGGAAGTAAGTAGCCTTTGCAGCCCCCAATAACAGGTCTCTAATGGCAGCTCCCCCTCCAAATTTCTTCTTGAAATTTGCATACAGGTGTCTGAGGCAGACCCTGTGTTCAACTTGCTGATGCATTTCCTCAAAGACACTAACAAGTCCCTAAAAACAGCAAGACCACAGAAAAAAGCATGTACATTAGCAACTTATATATTCCTCATAAATGTTGAACATTAGCAACAGAACAAGGCATGTAACATTAGCAGCAGGTTCTCATTAATGTTGAACATTAGCACCAGAAATACTTCAGTACCAGAAATTAGTGCATATTTGTGCATGTTTCATAAATGTGAATAACTAAGGTAATTAGTGCATATTTGTACCTTTTGTTGGTCTGAAATAAAAACATACTTTCTCTCTTCTCCAATGTCTTCCATTAGCAATTGCATAAACCATCTCCAGCTTTCTTTTGTCTCAGTCTCCACCACACCAAATGCCAAAGGATAATATTGGTCATTCGGGTCCCTTGCTACAACAATTAACAATTGACCTCCATATTGTGTCTTAAGATGACACCCATCTACCCCTATAAATGGTCTACAACCCTTGGTAAACCCTTTCTTGCATCCATCAAAACAGAAGTAAAATCTACCAAATCTTAGTGGTAGTGTTGGATGTGGTCTCTCAGTATTTAGTTTGACAGTGTTCCCAGCACAATGTTTTCTCAACTCAGCTGCATATCTCCATAACATGTTATACTGTTCCTTTGCATCACCTTCAATTATTTCTTCAGCCATAGCTTTGGCTCTCCAAGCTTTCCCTTTGGTAATGCCCACTGAATATTTCTGTCTAAGCTCAGACATAATTTCAGACAGTTTAACTTTCCCTTGTGACTTCCTCTTTTCAACCACTAACTTAGAGACCCACTTGGAATTGACAGACTTGTTATTTAATACCCTTGCACATGTGTGGGTCCCCACCCAAGTCTTTAGCTGGTAAGTGAGGCTACCTCCCACTTTGCTACACAATGCCAAAAACCCACATTTACTCTTACACTCAACCCTAACCCTATAGCTCTCATTCTTAACAAACGTTATTTCTCTACCATTTAATACTGACCAATCCCTGATAGCATCTTTAAATTCAGAAAGAGAAATGAACTCCATACCTAATTTGAATTGAAAGTCTTTGTTAAGCAGCTCTGATCTGAACTTCTCATACTTTGGCTTGGAAGGTTTGTCATCCATGTCACTTTCATCAGCATCTGAACTTTCAAGTTCCTCACTAGCATAATCCACATCTTCACATATCCTTGTAGCCCTCTTTGAACAAGATCCTAAGACACTTTTGGGCACCAAAACACTGACCTTGTCCCTTTTGCTCTTTTCTTTCATCTTTTTGGGATCCTTGGATGCACAACGCTTGAATCTAAATGATTTCCCTTCGATCTCCACCCTATTCCCACTAACTGGAACAGCTACCTCCACTCGTTCAAATTTATCTTCTTCTACTTCAATTACTCTTTCCTCTTCATTGTCATTGAAACATTGGCTTGCATCAACATAGTCACCAGAACTATCATCTCCACTAGAGGTGCTGAAGTCATCAACATTAGGTACCAGAACCTTGGTCATCATGTCTTCTACACCGTGCTCTACCCAAAGATCATCGTGAACCCTACAAGACATACAATGCTTAGCAACTTCTACAGCTCCTGCATCATCAACAACATTTGTAAACCCTTCATCCGTTTGCGGAATCTTTCTCCATAGCCTAAAACCTTCATAACCCCAATCTTTAACCAGACTAACAGCTTCAAAAAAGCTCCATGTATCTTCGTCCTGACATTCAACAGTAGTCTCACTACCTCCTCTATAATACGTATGGCCGTCTTGCACGAAACTTCCCCCATGATGAAACACTAAATTAAACACACCCATTTGCAAGGATGAAGAACCCTAATCGCAGGGTCTGAATTGAAACTGGCTTTTTTTGTAAGATGAAGATGAAGATGCTGCGCCCTAATTTTGCCAAATAATTTGGGATTTTAAGAAAAGGGCATTCTGGACATTTTACTTGGTCTTGTGTGACATGGCAAAAAAAAACGTACAACTGTAACAAAAAAATAAGCCACATCAGCCTTTTAGGTGATGTGGGAGCCTCAAGGTAAAAATTGAAACTTTTAAAATTTGTCAAGGTAACTATTGGAACTTTTTTTTGGCAGGGGGGTTTTTCAAATACACCCCATATGTCAGGGGTGAAAATAGGTATTAACCCTAAAATTTATGTTATTAATATGGTTATTATGCTTTAGACCACCTCCAACGGTGGTTTCTCAGATTGGTTTGTCAGTTTGGTATTGAAATTGTTAACAAAAAAGTTGTTTCAGTTGGTGAACGGTACAAATATAAACAACGGTTATTTATATTTTTTTATTATTAAAATTGTGGGATCCAATATAAAATTTAGTATGAATAAAATATTAATATACAAAGTAAAATTGTGGGACCCAATATAAGTTCTTTAAAATTGCACCATTGGAGTGAAAAATGGAATGAGTTGCTTCAAGATGATGTGACTTAATGGGTCCCACAAAGAACTCAAATATGAGTAGCACCATTGGAGATGCTCTTATTTGTATTTGGGTATTTTAGTTAATGACTCATTAATATCATTATATAATGTAGTGTCTATGAGATTTTTGAGATATCAATGAAATGAAAAAGTCTTTATCTTCCTTTATTTTATTTAGTCAATTTAATGTTATTCATCTTTTAGCGTAGAAAATCCTAATTCATAATTTTGGTATGAATCTTCCTATTAATTGGTATTTTCATCCATGTATTCAAATCTTCTTGTGGATTATCCTTATCATACACACTCATATTATCCATGTAGCATTCCTCTAACCTATCACACAAACCTCTCTTTTATATCTCTAATCAATCTCTCATTTCCATCTTTTTCATGGAAAATTTTTACACCTTGTTACGCTCATGTTGGATCATCATCGCCAAATTTGTATTTAAATCATGGGTATTCAGGTCATACACCTAACTCATATCCACTCTCACCAAACTCATATTCATTATATTCATCATCTCATTATTCATATTACTACAATAATTATCATCAACAACTCCAACCAACAAACCCCTCTTCCACAATTGGTCATCAATATCAAACTCGTTTTAAAAATATAAGAGATTTTGAGAAGTATCTCCAAGTACCTTATCCCTCTTTTAAAAAAGATCTAAAAAAAGTCTCAAAATCCTAATTTCATACAACCCACTCCTCAAAAAACCCAACTTTCAACCACCCAATAATCCCAATCGATGGAACAATCAGAACCAGAGGAACACCCAAACCCTATTCCCCAAATTTTGTACCTTTCTCTCCACTCCATCCACAACAATGGGATCCTCCGCCGTGGTTCTAGATTCAAAACCCGTCTCTGAACCGCTACCATCCCTCCCCTACACAAAATCTGAATATCTTTACACCGGCGACACAACCTCCGACAAAGATGACCTCTACAGCTGCCTCAAATCTCTGCAACGACAACTCGAGTTTATTGACATCCAAAAAGAGTACGTAAAAGACGAACAGAAGAATCTCAAACGAGAGCTTCTTCATGCACAAGAAGAGGTTAAGAGCATCCAATCAGTTCCACTTGTTATCTATCAATTCATGGAGATGGTTGATCAGAACAACAGTATTATTGGATCAACTACTGAATCTAACTACTATGTGAGGATTCTAAGTACTATTAACTACGAGCTTCTCAAGCCTTCTGCTTCTGTTGTGCTTCACCAACATTCTAATGCGCTTGTTGATGTTTTTAGGCTGATTCCAGTATTTCGCTCCTTAGCCAGTCTGAGAAGCTTGATGTCTCTTACAATGATATTAGAGGATATGATATCCAGAAGTAGGAAATTTGTGAGGTTGTATAGTTACCTCTCACACATCATGATCTATACAAGAAAATCGGTATTGATCCTACTTGAGGTGTCTTACTATATGGCCCCCTGGAACTTGTAAAACAATGTTTGCCCAAGTTGTTGTTAATCATACCATTGTCGCTTTCATCAGGGTTGTGGGTTCTGAGTTTGTGCAGAAGTATCTTAGCGAGGACCCAAGGATGGTTCGTGATGTCTTTCATCTTGCAAAAGAGAATGCCCTGCAATTATATTTATTGATGAGGTTAATGCAATTGCTACTGCTAGGTTTGATGCACAAACTGGAGCAAACAGAGAAGTACAACGTATTCTGATGGAACCAAACATTAAGTACATTATGAAGTGTATATTTATTGGGATATCCTACAGACGAGCCAGTGAAGTTCTATCAGAGCTTGGATTAATGAAGAATCAACAAAATTTTGGTACTGTTTCGGTGAACCGGAAATCTGAAGTGAAAGAAGATATTTGTTATACTAATATTTTGCGTTCGAGGAACAAGTTTGCAAACTCTCTTACTTTGTATGAGCGTGTCTTGGAGAGTGATGGTGTGAATGTAGAGGCTCTGGTTGGGAAAGGGATATGCTTACAGATGCAGAATATGGGGAGGCTTGCTTTTGATAGTTTTTCGGGGGCGATTAATTGGGATCCTCAAAATGCTTGTGCTCTCACACATTGTGGTATTCTTTATAAAGAATAAGGTCGATTAATGAAGGCAGCTGAGTCATATCAAAAGACGTTACGGGTGGATCCTACATACAAAACAGTTGTTGAATACTTAGCAATTGTACTAACAGATATTGATACCAACATAAAGCTTGCAGGAAACACACACGAGGGAATTCAAAAATATTTTGAAGCTCTAAAAGTAGATCCACACTACGCTCCAGCATATTATAACCTTGGTATGGTCTATTCTGAAATGATGCAATATGACATGGCCATCACTTTCTATGCAAAAGCTTTATCATAGAGGCCTATGTATGTCGAAGCATATTGCAACATGGGTGTGATTTATAAAAATCGAGGTGATTTGGAAGCAGCTATTACTTATTATGAAAGGTGTTTAACTGTTTCACCTAACTTCGAGATTGCCAAAAATAATATGGCTACAGCTTTGACAGATTTGGGAACAAAGGTGTATCATCATAAATCTCTTCCATATGAACACATTTTAAGAAAGAATGAACAAATGTATGCCTTCTTGGGGATATTCCTCTCACTCTGCCCACAGAGCAAGCTCGTTGATGAAACTGTGAACTCTCAGTTGCGAGAGAAGTATGGTGAAAAGATGATTGGAATCGCGACACGACTTAATTACTTTTGTCCTCGGTTTTTTCCAACTCAGGTATTTTGGTCTTACCCAAATCAGAAGGACTCAAAACAGGTTAGGGGCATCACCTTACATGAGAAATTTGATTTTTCAAATTCTGCAGTTTGTGTTGCAAATAATCATAGAGATAATTTGTTATTCAAGCAATGGGATCCAGGAAAAATATCTTTATTCTCATATTGATTTTGGAACCTTGAGGACAAGTTTCAAGTAAACTCAACGACAATGATAAGAGGGTATTATAGAATTTATATTATTAGTTATAAGTATTGTTATTGATAGTGGATAATAATAGAACTTATATTATTAATATGGTTATTGAGTTTTGTTTGTATTTGGGCATTTTAGCTAATGACCTATTAGTTTCATTATATAATATAGTGTCTATGAGACATTTGAGATATCAATGAAATAAAAAATTCGTTTATCTCCCTTTATTTTATTTAGTCAATTTAATGTTCTTCCCATTTTAGTGTAGAAAACCCTAATCCATAGCTTTGGTAGGAATCTTCTTATCATTCTATGTGAGAGTGGAATTTCACCGTAATTCACCGAGAATAAAAAGTTATAGTGAGCACGTGGGAGTATGCATTGAGCAATACATGGGGTGTTTTTAGCAATAATATAGTAATGTTTCTTAACAGTCAATTGGACTTGGGTTGTGTGGTACGGTGGGAGAACTGACTTGGAGTTTTGTGTTTGTATTCGCAAATGTTGCGGTTTAGCAAGAGTCGCCATCGACTTTTCTTTTATCCAAAAGGAAAGGTGAAAAAGCACAGGAAAGACCTTTAGAGATGTTTTCTTGAGTTCGGAGGGTAAATTATGGAAAGGGAAGGTGTTAGCACCATTTTCATCCATGGTTTTCCATGGGATCTTAGTTACTCGTTAGATCACTTGCTTTTGTTTTGACAATGTGCTTGTGGTGTGGGCTTTGAAAGTGTTTTGAAAATATCTTTGTAATAGTTCTCGTTTCTATGAGAACGCGTACAAAGTTTTGTTTCGAAAGATAGTTCAAAGACGTGTTTGGGGATTGTGTTTTTGAAAGTAGTTTTCAGAAAGATATTTTGCAATGGTTCTCGTCTCTATAAGAACGTATACAAAATGTTTTATCTTTTTGAAAATATTTTTGAAATGGAATTGTTGGTGTGTAAAATGTTTGTGAACAAGCGAGTAACTAGGAGTGAATCTACCTACTCGAAAGGTCGTAAACGTTCTTTTCCTTCTCCTTTAGATGTGGTTATCTTACCATTGTTTTGGTAAGAAGCTCCATCGTTGGATGTGAAGGGACGGGTGTAGGACGTTTGAATAGTCATAAAAGGAAACCTATGAGACGTTTTAGCAATGTCATTTTAGGGACTAGATTGTTTACCGAAGGCAACATTGAGGGTCATCGAGGAACTACGATCTTTTTTTGTCGAAGGGTCTTTGCTAAAACGTCCCATATTCGTGGGACATGACTATTTTCCGAAAGGCAACAAAATGAGATTACCCTAGAGGTGTGTTGGCTGAAGATTTTGATAATATTATTAGAAGCAAAACAAATTGGACGTTTCGATTGAAATGAAACAAAACGTCATGTTTCGAAATAGCAGAAGCAGTGTTTCGAATGAGCATATCAAAGCTTGGAGTTTCGAGTGGCAATTATGAGAGCATATCTAAAGAAGTCTCGAAATGACAACAAAGCTGTGTCTAAGAAGGGCGTTCGAAGCGAAGAAGTGTCAAAACATTTGAAATTCAAATGCAAGCGGGATGTTCGAAATTTGAAATATATGCGCTGGAGCATTCGAAGACACGTGGAAGCAAGAGAGAGGCATTGCTCTGCATGTTCTGAACGTGGCAGAATCTTATAGCAAGACCGTTATGGTCGAAGTAGTATAAATAGAAGTCTTAGCATTAGGATTTCGTGTGTCATATCTATTTGTACAAAAAACTCAGTAAACATTCAAATTACCACATGGCTAGGGAAACGAATGCAAGAGCAATGTACGTATGATAGCACCACATGTTTATGATTTAATGAAAACCCTTTATCAATTCCAGTACTTTCCTTTATCTTTATGTCAAATACCATTTACAAGTTTTCTCATTTAAAGTCTTTTTATTCGAAATCTTTTCATTGATGCCTTACATTTAAATGCTTTCTTTCCATTTCAAACACTTTGCATTTCAGAAACTGTTATACATTTCATGCCTTTATCTTCAAGTTTTTACCCTTCGAACATTTCTTTTACTTAAAGCAATTTTACAGTTTTCTTGCATTAAACGCTTTCTTCATATCTCGAATCTTTTACATTAACTGTTTTGTTTTACGTTTCGAAGCAATTCACTTGTCTTTTATGCTGTTTTACATGTCTTTACAATTAACATTTATTCATGCAATTTAGTTTTGCGCACATATATTTTGATTACACCTTTAGATATTTAAGAGAAAATCGAAATAAGTCAAACACCTACACAACACTCTAAATACCAACCATGAATACCTATTCGATCATGAGAGTTACCCTAATGACCAACACGTCCTAGGATCAATCTAGTCGATCCTGCGAGTTACCAGAGAAATCGAATAACAGTCAGTAAGTTTATTCGATAGTTTGGAAGACTAGCGGTTGTTTACCAGAAATCATTGTAAACAAATTGGCACACCCGGTGGGACCAATCGTTGGACATTAGAAATAAAGATTGTTGAGACATAACCATTATAAAGACGTTGGAACTTAAGAAGTTTGCTGTTTTATGAACCTAAGAAGTGGTAAAATAACCAACAGCAACCAACCCTTATCTAGAAGAAAACGTTTGAACAAGATGTCTAATTCTGACAATCAACAAGGGGAACAAAATGCCCCACATACAACAGGCACTAATGTATCCGCTTCGATGGGAACATCTAATGTGATCCCTTCGAATGCACAGTATGTTGCGTCTTCTACCAGTAATATAACCACTAATGGAGTAAGTGGCATATCAACTAATAGTTCGATCTTAGGAAATACTGGAACCATTGGTTATCCTGGGGGATTCGTTCCACCATCAGGAACACAAACCCATTTCGCCACTCCACTAACTAGACCACCCGGTTTCGATGGTAATAGAACCAGAAATTCCTCTTACGGAATGCCAACATCTTTTATGGCAGGTTTACACAATTCCACATCGAATTCATCACCACAATTAGGGTATGGGTCTGGGGCGAATCAGTTTATGACAAATAACCAAGGGTCAGTGGGTTATAGCACGATGCCTATTTTAACCACAGAAAACCAGTTGGCTTTTAGGCAATTGATGGATGACAGTAACCATAATATGATAGGGGTATTAGCACAAACTATGCAGGAAATATTTGCCCCAATAGTATAAAATGTGACTGTAACAAACAGAGAAAACGCTGATAACATGAGTTGAATAGCAGATTTCTTTGCTCCCCCAGATAGGCGTAGGCAGAATCAGGCGGGAGTTCGAGCAAACATCCCTGTTATAGAACAAGTTGCTAACGACCCAACTTATAGACCACCTAGAGAAGAAGTTAACTTGGGGGCAAGGGCACAAAGGCTAGAAGCCCCAATGATCCCAGGCCCACAGAGAGAAATTATGGAACCATGGGCAAGGGCCGAAAGGCTGGAAGTCCCAGAGTTTCGAGAAGAACAACCTAGGGGGGTTGTCATGGTTGGTCGAAATCAAGATGTTGATGCTGTCGTTCATAGAATTCGAAACGATAACATCTTGGCAGAAAACAATTTAACCACCATGATAGAAAGAGTCATGGCCCAGAATGGCCTCAACACAGGAATTAGAAGGCCAAATTATGCTTCTCCTATATTAGATTGCATAATGCATACTGATTTACCAAGGGGGTATAAAGTCCCTAAATTTACAAAGTTCGCTGGGGATACCAATGAGTCAACAGTCGAACATATAGCCAGATATCTAACCGAAGCGGGAGATATAGCCAATAATGAAGACCTCAGGATCAAATACTTCCCAAGTTCCCTGACTAAAAACGCCTTCACATGGTTCACCACTTTGCCTCCTGGGTCCATTGATACTTGGGCTCTTTTGGAGAGACTATTCCATGAACAGTTTTACATGGGACAGTCGAAAATAAGCTTGAAAGAATTAGCCAGTGTCAAGAGAAAGTTCACAGAACCCATAGATGATTATCTGAATAGATTTAGGCTTTTGAAATCCAGATGTTACACAGTGGTGCCTGAACATGAGTTAGTCGAAATGGCCGCTGGTGGCCTGGATTACTCTATTTGAAAGAAATTAGACACTCAATATTTGAGGGACATGGCTCAGTTAGCCGACAGGGTTCGACAGGTCGAAAGGCTAAAAGCCGAAAAGGCCAGAGTCTTTAAAAATAACAAGAAGGAAAGGATCTCCTATGTTGGAACTAAGGAAGCAGAAGATTATCCTGAATTCGAATTCGAAGAGGTCGAAATCGACCTCGCTGAATTGAAACAGGCATCACCTTACTCCTGCAAGTTATTAGTTCCCACAAAAGGGAAAGAGATTGTTGAAAATGAGAAAAGTGACAAATTCCCAAAGAAGGTTTATACCTTTGATGTCACTAAATGTGATGAGATTTTTGATTTACTTGTCAAAGATGGCCAACTCATTGTACCATCAAATGTCAAAATTCCTCCTTTAGATCAAAGAAAGAAGAGAGGATTTTGCAAATATCATAGTTTCCTAGGCCACAAAACCTCACAGTGTTTTCTTTTCAGGGACCTAATTCAGAATACAATCAAAGATGGCAGACTGAAGTTTGCTGATAAAGCAAAGATGAAAGTGGACGAAGATCCTTTGGACGTCGCAGACACCAACTACTCCGAGCCTGCATGCATTGGAGAGATTAACATGGTGGAAGCTGACCAAAGTGATGCCCCAATAGGAGAGAAAGGTACTGAAAACGAAAGCTGGGTGATAGTCGAAGTCGATAAGGAGGTCACTGAAGACGTCCAGAAGCTACCAGAGACTTCGATTGAAGCAGCACCTGTAGCTGTTGCAAAAGAAACCCAGGCTACTGAAGGCCAGGAAAATCAAAACCAAGAGTTAACACAGGTCACTGAAGGCCTGAGGCTAGAATTGGAGAAAGTCCAAATCACGAAGCCAACTTCCCCTCAGAAGGAAATATGGGACACTCTAGGGGAACCCAGTGGAAAATTTGACTATTTGGTCAAATA